CTAACACCAGTAGTGATTTCTGGGAGAGGCTCCATGCGTAACATGGAAAGGTGAGAACATGAGTTCAAAACAGTAAAACCTGTGGTCAGCGTTAGGCCTTCAGCTGAATCTCTTCAAGACCCTTTCAGTCCAAGACTACCTCTTCTTCACCTTCTTTAACTTCCCTCCCATATATATCTATCCTGTTTCTCCAGACTTAATGATCTCCCAGTTCTCTTAATGAATCTGTAATCCCAGTGACATCTGACTCTTAACTTTCTTCAAACATTTATGGTGAGAATTCAGTTGCGCAAACAGTGACACCCTCAACATACAGTGTATTTTACCACCCTTATGGCACCTTTCATGGGTTGTTTCAGGATGGTTTTATTTTTCAGACCTGTTTATTAGAAGAAACTATCTATGGATTTCAATTCTAGCTGGAGCACTGGCTATTATGTACATGGATCACATTATCTGTGTGGAGCAGTTGTCTTTGTACCTAACCGAGGTACTATGACTCTTTCCTGACTTCTGCCTCTGGCCAATCTTTCCAATCCTCCTCCACTGTTTCTGTTCTGTTTACACAGTGAGCTCTGTGTGGCTGAGATTATCTCACACTGCCTGTGTATCATGGGATCAAAACCTCGGAGGTAGCCTGTAGGCTTTTCTATAGCGCAAAATAACTCATCTGTACTTAATGCTACACTAAACACAGAATATGGTAGGTGAACTTGGTATTGATGGTGGGTTTATTTCAGTGCTGACAACTTCAAGCACCTCAGAATTGGCCAATAGATCAGTCTTTTCCATGAATGTGGCCAGAATCCCAAAGAGGCGTAGCTGAACAGACATGAAGTGGTTGAGCAGCAGGGAACACATGGCCTTTGGGTGTCATGCTGAAGGCGATCTACTGGGTGATTCCGTGGTGGGCTGCAGGACAGGCTTCACTGTAGAAACTCTGCTGTGGCAGGGTTGAGGAGCTTCAGCTGGGCAGAGCTGAACCACCTCCCTGATTTGTCTCTACTGTCTTAACCAGAAAGACGTCTTGCCTTTTGCCTGATTTGCATCAGTTTTTCAAATTCAAAACATAGTTGTAATGGCTGAGTTACGCTTCTTTGCTTCTTGATTAGAATTCTCCAGAGAGAAGCTCCTTGGTTAGGGGAAGACATTGGTCAGGAAGGACTACTGAGCAAAGAACTGTATTTAAGCTTTCTCAGTTCGTGCTAAGCTGCTAAGAAATCTGTTAAGTTACTGACAGAATCATTCTTCACAGATGTCAGCCCTTATCCATACGTTAGAAGGATCATTAATACAGCTAAAATGGAGTATCTGTCACTCTTGTGCTAACATGCAGCATACTTCCCATAAATACTATTTAAAAGGACTTCAGTCCACATTGTTTAGTGTTTGATTCAGAGGATGGTTAAACTTTACTACATTTGATTTTTGTCACTGTTACAAGCTTTTTCGAAAAGTTCTTTACCATGCATTCATAATGAGAATGTCACAAGCATTTTCTTGCTACTAACTATCAAGATGAAGCAAAGGAATGGTAAAATAATGAAAGCTGGGAAGATAAACAAGTATCTACCACATTTTAATTACAAAGCTAATAAAATTAGATTGGCATAACTCAAAATCTCTTGCTGTTACGCTCAAAAGCAATGTGAAAATATGGTTAGAAAAAGATCAAGAGAAATGAAGTGTTTCTTCATGGAGGTATTTTATAAACATTTGAGTTATTAAGTTTAACCTGTTTAACTGAATACTGCCCTCCTCTGAGACTCGGTATAGGTGAAAAACAGTCTAAAGATTGTCTAAGCATCCTGCCTAACCATAATGATTTCATGGACCCCAGCTGATTTTATCAGTTTTTAGCTGATGATTTTTCCAGTCCTACAGTCAGGTTTCTCTACGCACTTTTGTAACAATATGGCTCATTTCTGAGTCTCACAGAAATTGCAGTTAACTTCTCCCCCCCCCGCCCCCCCCCCGCCTTTTAATTTCTCTTTTGACCTTCAAGGTAAATTGAATATTTGTATTTTTGTGTTTTACAAAAATTGCTGGTATTATTTTGGAGTCTGCTCCAGCTTCTGTTTAAGATTGTTTTTTGACATTTAGATTTGAATTTTAATGCTATCACACTTCTTTATTTTTTGCTGATTGACTCTAGATTGTATTTATTTCTCTGTATATGTATTCTTTTTTTGGTGGTGATTTATAAAACTCACAGGTAGATCACTCCTGCAAAAGTGGTGGCGTTTGTATCAGAACATGTTGCTAGCACTTAGCTAATCAAAGATTACATGGCCCAAAGTCTTGAATCTAATGCTGTGGAGCCTGAGCCTGAAATAATTCATCTAGACACTAAAGGTGAAATTGCAAAGCTCAGAAGAAAAGTGACTTAATTCTGGGAATACATTTTCAGAACTGCTCTTGGCCTTGGGCTGGAATAGATGCAGTCTCTAAAAATAAGTTCCTTTTTATAATTTTAAAGAGATGATTTTGTGGTGTCCTAGCTTGATAGGAACCTATTCCAAAGCATTCTGCAGTGATATAACCATATGAGATGTGCAATGAGACATTGAGATAGGAGTAACTTCCTGGCACGTCTTTTCCTGGCTCTCCATAGATTTTCCTCATTCTGACTCACATTATTAGAAAAGTAGAAGAAGTATCTCAACTATGTAAGATGCAAAGAAAAGCTTATTCCAGTGGTCCCTCTTTAATTTTTAAAATATGCCAACTCTCATTCCTTCTGTTTTACAACTTCTGCATTCACTTAGCAATGAATGAGGGGTATGCAAAATGTTTGCCTTAGCTCAGTTTAAGCTCTAATTTCAGCCAAAATGCTATAAAAATCATTACTGCTTCATGATGGAGTTCGAGTAGAGCTTCAGTAAGCACAAGGCACAGAGAGATGATGGGAGAATTGAAGTGTGTGAACTGGCATTTTCAATGAAATCAGATTTTTAATAAAATCCGTTACTAAGTTGTGTGTCTGCCTGGTGATTGTTTATTAAAGCACAGCTATATTGTAATTATACTGTTATCTTGCATATTCCTGGTTGATGTTACTCTAAAAATTGCTTAAGGAAAAGACTCAACTGAAAAACATGAGTTTAACAGCTTTTTTCAGCTGGCAGGCAAACTCTGCTCTCAAGTTCAGTGACGTACCTGCTGATGTCTCGATTTATGAGTACATGTTCCAAGGTCGTCTTTTTTTAATGCTTTCATGGATTTCTGAGGCTTCCCAAAGATTATTTACATGTTTAAATTCCCATAATAGTTTTGGTTTCACCTTAGGACACACAAAAGTGAATTTAAAAGGTGGTGGATAAAGGAAAGAAATACAGCATTTCAAATGTTTGTTTTGTTTTAAAAAGAATAGATGTACCAAATATTTCTAAAGCCTCAAACCCTTCTGCTGTTCACTTATGCCCCACTGGCAATTCAAATCTTCTTTACTCGGAAACAATACGAATAACCAGGGAAGTAGTGAAACAGTCTTATAGAAAGGGACTAAAAGGTTAAGCAATTGAGGGAAGAGATTTTTAGCATGCTCAAAGAAACCCATTTTGCAGTACATTACCCGAAGCATTCTGGTGGCAACAAAGCAGTCACCCTAAAAAGGAAGCAATTTTATTACACCAGCCTATTGAAATGCTTTGAAACTGTTGGAGGAAATGCCACATTTCCTAATGAAGCATTAGGAAGGGAATGAGAAACATTTTTGACAAATGGCAAATGCGGCAGAGGAAACCTGCTAGGTTTCTGAAGGTACTGGTTGTTAAGGGATATATATCTCGGGTCTCAGAAAGAGAAAGCATTAGGGGAAAAATCATGCTCGTCACTCATGATGACAGACAGCTGTGAAAATGCATCAAGCTGCTCTGTGAAAGAGAGATATCAGTCCAGCTCTAGACAAGCCAGGTTGGGTACCAGAAACAGCCTCAAAACAAGTTGTTTTGTCTTTGCTGATACAGTGTCTCAAGGTAGCTAATGTGGGCTATCTAATTAAGAAACTCTTGCCGGTGTCTCACAGAGCCTATTTCTCAGGATACATATTAATAGCATCATAGACTTTTAATGCGGCAGCTAGGATTCGTAACTCCCACCAAGTTTGGCTCCACTAGTGCTCTGGGATATGGTGACGTTGTTGGTGCATGGAATCAGAATCATAGAATGGTGAGGGTTGGAAGGGACCTCAAAGATCATCTAGTTCCAACCCCCCTGCCATGGGCAGGGACACCCTCCACTACACCAGGTTGCCCAAAGCCTCATCCAACCTGGCCTTGAACACCTCCAGGGATGGGGCATCTACAACTTCTCTGGGCAACCTGTTCCAGTGCCTCACCACCCTCCAAGTGAAAAATTTCTTCCTTATATCTAATGTAAATCTCTCCTTTTTCAATTTAAATCCATTGCCCCTTGTCCTATCACTACATGCCCTTGTAAAAAGTCCCTCTCCAGCTTTCCTGTAGGCCCCCTTTAGGTACTGGAAGGCTGCTGTAAGATCACCCTGGAGCCTTCTCTTCTCCAGGCTGAACAGCCCCAACTCTTTCAGCATGTCCCCTCTTCCTTAGTCTGAGCTGGACTCTGCTGTGTTAAAAAAATAGCAAAATCTCAACTATTCTTTAGATGATTTTGGAAGAAAATAGCTTCATTAGATTACAATCAGTCTATAAAGAAACCTGAAGTGTTGAGGAAATGCTTTTGCACTAACTAACTGTGTAACTAAACTAATTTCCAGGCATCTACAGCTCAGTGAACCATGATTTATTAGTCTTGAAGGCTTCAGAGTACTTCAATCTCTGTTTAACAAATGAAGGAACGGACGCATAATCTTAAAGCAGCAATAGACATTTCACATATGAAGCTTCTAACAATGACAGCTAATTAATTATAATTCATTTAAACCACAAAATATAATTGACTTAAGCTTTTGCATCACACTATCATGCTTTCCTACAAAGCAATTTTCTTTTTCCTCCAGACATGTAACGAGTGTGGGATCTTCAGCTAGATGGGTCTTCAGGTTGGGTTCTCAACATCTTTATCCGTTTTTCCAGCCTTTCCATCCATTCATTTCTGAGCCTAGGGACAGAAATATGGATCAGCTTGTCCCCATATTCTTAGAGGAAACAGATTTATACTCTTCCTGTTTCCCACTGATGCTATCCTTTGGTGCTTTTTCTCAGTTGTCATGCAAACTGTCCTGCCCCTTTAGAGTGCTTTGCTGGATGACACTTCAGGATTAGCTCTTAAATCCTGATGAGGGCTCACCTAAGCTTTGTGCTTCATCTTCATCTCCAGTGTTCCCTTTCTCAAGTGCCTCTGTGTGCCGGAGTGACTTGTCATCTCCACTGGAGATTGCCTGCTGCCACCTGCTGGGTAGCATCACCCAATGTTTCCCCAGCCCTCCTCTTCAGAAATGCATTTAAAAAGGTATTGCATAGAGGCTCTGGAGCACTATTGGTTTGAAAACACTGTGCATGTTGAAACTTCCGTTAGACCCATAGCAGACAGCTTTAGGTGACAGGTGACACTTTATTTTCTTTACGGTACCACAGAAAGACTGCCTTAAATAGAAAGGACAGGAGTTTCACAGCTGGGGAGTTGAGACTTTGAAATTAGGTAAGTTACAAATGGATAAAACGTGCTAGAGACTAATTCTAGTGTTCTATCATCCAGGGTTATTAATACAATGTCATCCTTACTCTTACTTTTTCAAGTATCAATCCAAAGAGTGGTATGAGGGAAAATTTGAAAAAATGCTTTCTCATTGAATGATCTCAAGCCAAAATAGCCGTCTTTGCATCTTCAATTTATGGAGACTTCACGTGAAGTAAACTGTACTGATGTTGCTGCAGACTAGTCTTTCTCATTGTGGTTAATTAAGGCACATATGACAGATTGAGGTAATTATAACTATGTATGATGGTTGTCTTGGTCAGTTAGTACACTTGGACAGTCTTCTTTATTATGGATTTACCTTAAGCAAATTAAGCCGTCTTAATTAAACAAAACTATACACTTGTGAAAACAAGGCTGCAGAGGAAGAAGGTAGGCCAGGTACCCATTTGTGCTAGCTCTGCTGTGAACATAAGCCTTGATATTCGAGACAAGCCTGCACCACTAGATGTTATCCTGATAACTTCAGAAAGTTCAACGCTTTGGACTAATTTATGGAACAAGAACAAATTACTCTCTTACCCTGTGAAGCTATAGCTTAGACACATAAGTGTTAGCATTTGCATGCCAATTTGGGAAGCTTTATTATTTTCTAAAAATGTAAGAAAAATACTCTAATTTTTCATTGAAGGACTTAAATATAGATATCACTTTTCTTTAAAAAGAATTACAACACAAACTCAAGTAACCTTTCCAGATGCAAACTACCCACTTTGTCAGAGCACTTCTTCGCTGACGTTCTTTTTCAATTTGCAGATACCGAGTTTGTTGTTCAATAGTCTTTTCCCAGAAGTTCCTCAGGTCACTAGTTTCGCATCCTCTCACTTCATGGCGTATGTACTGGCTATTCATGTTCTCTAAAGGAGAAATTTGAAACAATCATAGGACAAGTTATTGGTTCCTCAACTGTTTTCATGGCTAAAGCACACTCTTGCTGGTTTGGATTTTCCCAGTGTTAGGGTCACACAGCGGGGTTTTTTGTAAGATCAGGATAACAGTTGGCAAGACTCAGTATTTAAGCGTTTCATTCCTAGCTCTGACACTTGAGAACGTGCTGTCTGCAATGAGTTGAATTCTTACTTATTCACCTCAAATATCTCTCACCTCCATCTGCCTGTGACCTTTTAGAGCACAATTCCGGACAGTTCTGTTGTATTCTCTGGCTTAAATGCAAAGGAAATATAAAAATTGCCAGATCTAGTAGGATCTTTCCTCACTGTTTTCATGTCTATAAAATGATAAAGTGATCATTGTAGATTAAGATTAAAACAATGAAGAAGAAAAGTTCTGGTGATTTGCTATTAATCACTATAACATTTACCTTAGCTTTACTTGGGAATGGAGAAAATTTATATGTATAAAAGTATGTACGTAATTTTATAAGATGCTGACTTTCAAAAGCCACCTTGCTTATTAAATATTTCTCCCTCTTCTGCAATTTTCAAAAAAGAGCAAATTCATTGAATATATTTATATATCTATGTCTATTCTGTACTTCTCCCTTCATTTAATGTCATCTTAAAAATCAATTTTGGAGTAAATCTTATCAGAGAAAAAGAGTATCTGTCTCAGGATGACTTTTCATGGGCCAACAGTCAAGCTCATGTATCCCACATTACAGCCAGAAATCATATCATTACTTTCAAAACATCATCAAATATGGAATAAGTGTATCCATGCTGCCTTCCAAATTGCTGTGTGGTTTTGCACAAACATGCCATTGTAGTATTTTCCCAAACATTTAGGTTTTTTTTTTTTCACAAGTATTTAGGGCTCTCTCATGCATTGTTTGAGTCCATGGCAATTATTTGTAATTTATTTTAATCAGAGCCGTAGAGAGCTAGTAAACAGGTCCCTCAAGGCTAGCTTGGAAAAGCTTGAAGAAACGGCTGCCATTCCCCTGCCAGGCATCATAAGAAAAGCAAAATTTGGAACTGGCAATCTTTACATAATTTCATTTGAAATTTGGTTGTTTCATGAAAAACTGAGACACACATTATAAAAGCTCTATGAGCAGAGCACAAAAAGCATCCCTTTTGAAGCAGCCTCTTTCTTGCTAGGATTTCCCTATGACTCTCCTGAGGTTCCCTGCTAAAGCTTCGTATATCAACTCAGGGTCTGCAAATGATAGAAGCACAGTATTTGAGCCTGACTTCTGTGGAAGAAGTTTACTGAGTACTTTTTCAGGTTCTGAGCAAATTATAACTGAATATGTAAGTATTGGCATCACTCTATAGTGTGAGTTGCAAGTACAGCTGAACACCTCCAGCTGTGCTAGGGGATAACCAATTCCAGGTCAAAAGTTCTCTTAATATGAGTATGTGTTTTCATAAAATATATGTATTCTATAAACATCTATATATATGCCAACCCAAATCTCTCTTCCCAGATAGCAGTTACTACCCTTTTTAACTTTTTACGTATCAGGAGAAATCTAGAAATGTATGGAAAAGATACTGTACCAGCCATCTGGGTCAGATTAATAGATTTTCCACTCCAGGATTTAATGTCTGAGAATAACAATATTTCTGAAAAGAGGCAAGCAAGATTCCCAGATATCCCTGAGGGTCCAAAATGAACTGCCAGGAAATAATGTCTCTTAGTTTCTTTAAACAGAAGTGATCCTAAAGCATAACAATTTCATCCTTCCAAATGATTACAGAAGTGATCCTAAAGCATAATAATTTCATCCTTCCAAATGATTATGTATTCATGTTTAATATACTGTGAATGTGTCTTTCTACATATGTGAGGGTGTATATCTCTCCTGAATAAGGCAAAACTGTGGAGTTCATTGCCACAAGGTATAACCGAGCCCAGGTCTATGTGTTCAGAACACACAGAGCCTTTGCTGGTTTTAAATGCTCTGCCTCCTAGTTCAACTGCACATATTCTTAGTGCTGCCTTGAATGTATTTTATAGTTGCGTCTCTCCAACACCTTGCCCCACAGCAAAAAATCCCAAAGAAAAAGTTTTAAACCCAGTAAAAGAGAAGTTCAGAATTAGTTTTCATGTTGTTCACCTTAAATCTGGTGCTGGCAGTATTTAAAAGAATGTTAGAACACTCTTGAGATTACAAAGTGTGTACAGCACTATGCTTTACAGGTTCGGGTGGATTTTCTTGGAGGAGGGGATGGGGCCCAGGAATTAGTGCTTTTCTCTGTCTATTATCTGTGAAATTTTCTTTGTGTGTGCTTGCTCAGGCACACTAAGAGCATTGACCAAGCCTGTCCTTCTTTCTTACCCTTTTATTTTATGTTAAACTATGGATACCCTGGTGTTGAATTTTCTCTTACTTAGCACTTAATCTTCCTCTTTATTTTCTTTCCCCCTAATACTGGAGAACACTCAAATATATATCAAACAAATTGAACTTAGAATTTCTGTGTTCTTATTTTACTCATCCTCATACATCCTTGATAAAATCAGTGTGTCAATGTGCCAGCATTTGCTTCTCTGAACTGTAGAATCATCCTACCCTACCTAAATTACCTTTTATTTCAAACACTCTATTTGAGCCCGTTCACGCAGTGATTGCAGGAGCTGCACAATAACTCTGCTAAAATAACCCACTTGGTTTCCTTTGCCTTTACGTATCATGTGGACAGGTGTTTGAATTCACCTCTGTCCTGCCATCCATTTCAAAACTGTTGCTGTCAACCTTCAGAGTTGCATGAACAAACGGGGATATCAAACATAGTCTATCGGTATTTCACTTGTCTTAAGATAAAGTTTCTGTGCTAAAATCTTTTTGGTGATGGAAACTCTTTATTTTCCCCTCCTACTTCAGCTTTTTTCGGAGGAGAGTAATAGGACTTAAGCCTGTATCTTGGCTTTGCACTAGCAATTATTACCTGGGTACAGTTTATTTTCATACTTTGGAACCTCATTCAAAGTACCTAGCAAAAGGGACCTCATTTAATAGGGAAGGCAAGGAATGCACAAGACTTCAGGGAAGCAGGCTGCAAAGTGACTTGAACAGAAAATCTCCGTGTGTCATACAACAAGTGGGCAGAAATATGCTGTTAAAACATATAAGCAGTTGTAATAGCATTTTTATAGATCTTACAGTTAGGTCTGGCTTAAACTACCCTGCAACAGCTAGGACATTAAGCTTTAATCAAGCCTCTAGTAACAATTCTTCAAGAGGATGATAAGGTAAACCATGATTTTTTTGATTTTTCTATTTAATAATGTTACAGCAGGTTGATATTATTTAGAGTCAGTTTGCTAAAGGAGATCTTACAAAGGTAGGGAAGCTGTGACTCTAGCACTGTTATCTGGAACTCAAAATTATGTTGGTAGGACAAAAGAGGAATGTAAGATCAATGCAATGCTACATTTGGACTTTTTTTTGTAAGTAAAAAAATCAATAGTTTGAGTTTGGAACTCACTGGTTCTATGAGAAACCATTATCACCACAAGAAACACACTGTTTCACGGAGACAATTGGAAGTCACAAGTTTCTTAGCTGGTAAATGGTATGTAAAGAAAAATGTGGGTTTTTTTTCCTCTAGTAGAACACAAATTGTTATTTTAAATGTTTTTTAAGTTTTACAAAGCATCTGCATGAGTCAGGAAGCTATTTTTTTCCCCCCCTTCTTGCATAGCACAATCGCTCAGAGTTTTCAAGGTGTTATGCATCTTCCTGGAAATGCTACAATATTTGTTCATCTATCTTTTCATGGACCTTGCTTGGTGACTGTGCTTATGGTATAAATGCATTGGATCAATAAAAAACTGCACAAGGCAGTAGATTACCTGTGCTAATACTGATGTTTGACTTTAAAACAATAAGAAATCTGCTCTCATTTTAGAAAATGGGACTAGTAATCGCAGCCATGATTTCCCTTTCTCCTTGGATCTTTGATACGTCATTTATCTTTTGCTTCTGCAGCTGGCAGCAATTCACATCTCAAAAGGCTGATTGAGGTTTGCTTTGAGATCCTGCCTGGGGAAGCGTACCAATTTCAAGTCTAACATAGGTCTTCAGACCCTGAGTATAACTCTTCGTGGGCAGAAGAGAGCACTTTAGTTTAATCCCCTGTACCCTTCTGCTTGTGTGGCAGGTTGCACAGTGCAGTCTATCTCACGAACAGCCTGAGCCTCAGTGCCACTCGTGAGCAACTTAGGGAGAGGTTTCTCACAGCTCTTTCTGACCACATGGCTGGTGCACAGTTACAGAGCTGCACCTCTTGGAGCTGACTTGACCTGGAAAGGGGAAGGCTGGTACAGTCTTCTGGTGCAGGCAGGTCCCTAACACTGTGCTGATCTCTTTCAAAAATTCATTAGTGTATCTCATCAGCAACAACGCGTGGCTTTGCATGTGTGCTGTACTGTTCTCCTTCCATTTGCGCTTCAACGTTACAGACTACTAATCTATGCTTTCCTTTTGTAAACAGTGTTGTCTGGAATTTGCAATGAAATAAGGGAATTCTAGACAAGTGATTTATTCTGCCGGTGGTACTTCCTAGTTTGGCAGAATTTGAAGTACATGCTGTTACATAGATGTGTGCTCAGTCTGGAGATTGTTCTCTGGGTATAAGCTCCAATCAAATTAATTGGACTTTTCCATGCAATGGGAATTTTCTGTGTATGAAAATGACAACCATACTGACATGTGACTGAGCAATACTAGTAAGAGTTCCCTGTGTGCATGAGTTACAGGAACGCGGCTAGCAAATTGATTCTAATGTGCAAGTTAAGCAATTTTAATATGCAAGTTAAAATGTTTGCACTCAGGCACTATGCAGCAGACTCTGCTCAACCATTCTCCTAGTTCCTAATTCCCACACATCGTTATCACTTTTCTGTGAAAAGCTGATGGGCCTGAGTCTATTTTTCTGATTTGG